GGACAGAAGCCACTGGACAGGTGGGGGCCCCTGATGGCCCGGCCTGGTCAGGTGTACCCCAAGGAGCTGGAGTCCGAGTTCGACAACTTCGAGGACTGGCTGCACACGTTCAACCTGCTGCGGGGCAAGACCGGCGATGACGAGGACGGCTCCACCGAGGAGGAGCGCATCGTGGGCCGGTTCAAGGTCAGGCGAAGAGTGTGGGTCCGGCCCTGAAGCCCCCACCTGGGGTTGTCTTCCCCGACCACCTTCACTGGCCTGGCCATTCTCCAGAACCCCTGGACTGCCCCGTCATCCAGCAGCAGAAGGGCTAAGGCCTTGCCCAGCAGGCTCCGGACTTAGCTATTAGCATTTTTTATTTTTATTTTTTTTTGAGAGAGATTTTCACTGTAGGGCGCGTGCGCTCACCAGACAGACAGAGAGAGACAAAGAGACAGAAAGCAAGAAATCACTCCCCAGGGGGGATGGTCACACCGCAATCCCTTCTCCTCCATTCTCCTCTCGGGATCTTGGGCATGCACGCACACGCGCCCGGCGTGAGTTTTTTAAGCCACCGGGTCCGGGACGTGAACCGTGGTCGACTACGTGGGAATCCAGCGACATAGCCATTACGCTAACTGCTGGTTCCCGCATTTTTTATTTTTAATGAGCAAGAGAGCGAGAGCAAGGGCGAGTGAGCGAGCGAGCATCCCAGCAGGCCTTGGTGCCCTGCGGCCCTCAGCCAGCCCAGGTCACAGGTGGGCTCATGCCCAGTGTACTCTGGGAGGTCTCCGGACTTGAACCAGGAGCTGGCCATGGGGTCACAAGCGTCACGCTTACTGCTGTGCCACCGTCCGCTTCTGCTGGTGCCCTGGCAGAACTGCGCCCTGACCCCCCACACCTCGCCCTAGGGTTCCCTCTGCGTATACAAAGTGCCACTGCCAGAGGACGTGTCCCGGGAAGCCGGCTACGACCCCACCTATGGAATGTTCCAGGGCATCCCAAGCAACGATCCCATCAACGTGCTGGTCCGAGTCTATGTGGTCCGGGTGAGACTCTGGCTGGAGCCCCTCCTAGCAGGTCTCCTGTCCTGCCCAGGGGGTATCGAAGGAGCTCAGACCGACAGCCCGGGCTGGGAGGCACTGGGCTGGTCCTCTGGCCTAGGTCTTATTTTTTCTAGAAGAGGAAGATGATACTCAGAGAGGGGCAGTGACTTGCCGAGAGTCACACAGCAAGTCCCCCTCTCTGGGCAGTGCTCCTGCCCTTCCCTTTGCCTTAGGGGGACTCTCAGGAAGAGGGGCACGAGCACTGGCAGGTGAGTAGGGTGTGGGGAGCCTGCTCAGCACCCCTCCCCATCGCAGGCAACGGACCTGCATCCCGCAGACATCAACGGCAAAGCGGACCCCTACATCGCCATCCGGCTAGGCAAGACCGACATCCGCGACAAGGAGAACTACATCTCCAAGCAGCTCAACCCTGTCTTCGGGAAGTAAGACCTCGTGCGTGCCCCCTCCCTGCCGGACGTCCCTGCTCCTGTCCACCCGCTCTTCACCCCTCCCCCTCCCCATCAGGTCCTTCGACATCGAGGCCTCCTTCCCCATGGAATCCATGCTGACGGTGGCTGTGACGTCCCTGCTCCTGTCTACCCGCTCTTCACCCCTCCCCCTCCCCCTCCCCATCAGGTCCTTCGACATCGAGGCCTCCTTCCCCATGGAATCCATGCTGACGGTGGCTGTGTACGACTGGGATCTCGTGGGCACCGACGACCTCATTGGGGAAACGAAGATCGACCTGGAGAACCGCTTCTACAGCAAGCACCGGGCCACCTGCGGCATCGCCCAGGCCTACTCCACGTGCGCGGGGCGGCGTGGAGGGGAGCGGGGCAGGCCTGCTGCAGCCGGGCTCTGAAACGGGATGCGGAGTGTGGTGGTTCGGGAAGAGAGTGGATTACGGTTTCCACTCCAGCCCGACCTGCACCCCTGCAGGCTCTGGGCACAGCCTTTAGGGGCTAGGACTGCAGAGTCCAAAACAGAGAGGGCCAGGGGCCTCCCGGACAGAGGAGGCAGGATAAGGAGGGAAGAGTGGCCTGGGGCTGGGGGAGGGGAGGACGAGTCCACGGGGGCTCTGGGCCATCCACTGCCACTTACAGGCTGTGTGGCCCTGGTCAAGCCCCTCAGCCTCTCTGGTTATTCATTTCCTCATGGGCAACTTTGCCATTCCAGAGCAGTGGGCGCAGCTCGCGGATGCAGTCGGGCTAGGTTAGGGGGACACTGAGCTCTTGGGCCAACGCCTAGGTAGGAGGGACCCACTCGAGCAGCCCCATTGTCTCAGGTGGACCTGCGGCCCGAGGCAGGCCCACCCACTGACCCGGCCAAGAGCCGACTTTGGAGAACTGGCTGCCACCTGAGAAGGCCTCGCCCTGGCCCGAGGCCCACCCAGCCTGTGTGTCCCAACAGACACGGCTACAACATCTGGAGGGACCCCATGAAGCCCAGCCAGATCCTGACCCGCCTCTGTAAAGAGGGCAAGGTGGACGGCCCTCACTTTGGGCCCCCCGGGAGGGTGAAGGTCTCCAATCGCGTCTTCACAGGGCCCTCAGAGATCGAGGACGAGAACGGTAACGGGCTGCTGGATGAAGCCACTGTCCCCTTCCCGGGGGGTTCTTTAAGCCAGGAGGGACCCACACTTCCCTGCAGAGGCAACTCAAGGCCTACCCAAACTTCTGCTCATCACCCCAAAATCCGGCTCCCACCTGCCCAGCCTCTGCCCTTCCACCCTCTCCTACACGGCGCTATCCCACCTGTTCTAGCTCTCTCCCCGGCCCGGTGGGGTCGGGAGGGCGCCCTCATCCTGCAGGTGAACAAGCAGAGACCTCGTGACTTGCTGAGCTCGCCTGGCTCTTTAGAGGCAGAGGGAGGTGTGGGCCAGGTCTGCCCGGCTCTGAGTCTTCCTTTCCCCCACCCCCCTCCCCAGGAGACACTTCCCAGAGACTCCAGAGGTACCTGGGCTGGGGAGGTCACCTCCAGGTGCCAACACTGGCAGTGGACTCTCCCCTCCCGCATCCCTCGTAAAGCCCAGGAGCACTCCAATCAGCTTCCCCAAGCAGAGAACAGCCAGGGCACAGACCTCTCTGGGCCTGCAGGGCAGCTGAAACCTTGGGCAGGCCATTTCTCCCTCTGTGCCTCAGTTTCCCCAACAGTAAAATGGTAGACAGTTGATGGCTCAGGGGCTTCCTTGCAGCCCTAAGTTCTGGGCCCAGTGCAGGCCTTGGCTCCGTGGAGCCTGCGTGCAGCTGAGCCACTGCCCCCACAGGTCAGAGGAAGCCCACGGACGAGCACGTGGCGCTGTCTGCCCTGAGGCACTGGGAGGACATCCCGCGAGTGGGCTGCCGCCTGGTGCCAGAACACGTGGAGACAAGGCCCCTCCTCAACCCTGACAAGCCTGGCATCGAGCAGGTGACGCTGGGCCAGGGTCAGAGTTCTTGGGTTTGAGGAGCAGGAATTCCCTGACTGGGTCCATAAATGTATTAACGGGGCCCTTGTGCTATTCGCTGCGTCCCCGAAAGCCTGGCAGGACCAGCCCACCCCGTGGAGGCCTGAGCTGTCTCCCTCCGGAGCTGTGATTGGCTTTTGGTGACGTCATCAGAGTTCTTGACACCCAGAGATGAGAGCTGACGAAATGGGCCCCCGATAGAACAAAGGTTGGGAGGGAGTGGAGTGCTGGGCCTGCCGAGAAGGCCCTGGGGGAATCTGCCTTACCCCTCTTCCTCAGGGCCGCCTGGAGCTGTGGGTGGACATGTTCCCCATGGACATGCCGGCCCCAGGGACGCCTCTGGACATCTCGCCCCGGAAGCCCAAGAAGTGAGCGGCCCAGGGCCCAGCCCCCACCCCGGCACCCCCACCCGCCCATCCACTTCCCACCAGGGCCCAGTGCTTCCTGAGGAGGAGGCTCAGGGCCAGATGTCCTCGGTCACTTGGCTTGGTTCCCTGGGCCCTGGGTCTGCCCGCCAGGCCTTATCAGGGAGACACGGCATTGCAGGGCCTGCTCCGACAGGTCCTCACTGGCCAAGGCAGGGCCACCTTCTCCCCTCTGCCCCCAGGGAGGAAGCCGAGTCACACTCCGGCACACCATCG